CTAGCTTTCCAAAGCGGCGGCCTGGGTTCGATCCCGGGGCCTGGCCAAGTGGGATTTGTGGCGGACAAAGTGGGGCTGGGGCAGGTTTTCTCCGAGTAGTTCGGTTTCCCCTGCCAATCTTCATTCCACCAATTGCTCCACTACCACACTCACCTATCATCTGGGGCTGGTACAATAGGCCAGATGTGGCCGCAGTACAAGGGACTTAGTCCCACCCCACTAGCAATAAAGAAAATACTTATATTTATATAAGTATTTATTTATACTTATATTTAAATACTTATATATAATAAAGAAAATGAAGATGAGCCCTTCTTGAGGAGAAGCCAAATCTGTAGCACTCAAGAATTTACCAGCATTTTATGGAACCCGAAGGTTTATTACCGTGTTCAAAAGAGCCCTCCACTTGTCCGTATCCTAAGCCAGATCAATCCAATCCATACCATCCCATCATATTTCTCTAAGATCCATTTTAATATTGTCNTACCACACTCACCTATCATCTGGGGCTGGTACAATAGGCCAGATGTGGCCGCAGTGCAAGGGACTTAGTCCCACNAATATCCTATATGCATTTATCTTCCCCCAATTCATGGTACATGCCCTGCCTACCTCATCCTCCTTGAGTTTACACGGTGCCACATCCCAGAAGACGGCATTCTTGGTAGTCACCGCTGTGATAACCTCAAATCTTACACGCAATATACTCGTACTAGTCTGCATAAGACTCGGAGCAAAATTGCTATACCTAATATTATGAAGTACAAACAACTTCTGTATTCAAAATCATAAAAAAAATGCAAAGACCTCTGAGTGGATAAGGGTAGGGGGGGGGAGATTTTATATTTTGAACGTATAAAGACCAGGAACACTCTGTGTGGGCTTCTAATGTAAACACTACGGGGGGTGCTTTTTATACGAGTAGGGCCCAATAGCTCATAAACAACAAAACAACTTAACGTGTAAATTTGTATACTTTTATTAACTTCTAAGAGACATGCCGAAGAGATTAAATGTTTTTATTGCTTCACGTATTTTCTTTTTCCGATGTGAGGCATATCGCATATTAATAGGAAGCTCGCAGAGTGGTCACTGAACACCCACACCCTAACAACTTCCTATCACAAGGGTGCCCAGACTGTGAAATTACTCTTTTTGTCACGTATTTTCTTTTTCCGATGTGAGGCATGTCCCATATTAATAGGAAGCTCGCAGAGTGGTCACTGAACACCCACACCCTAACAACTTCCTATCACAAGGGTGCCCAGACTGTGAAATTACTCTTTTTGGATATCCTAAAACTTTAAAGTATTCATGTCTTCTTTAGACGTCAGTTTTCAGAAGATTACGAGTTCTTCTGGCATATCCATACTTTGTTTTTATGGCGATGCGTAAAAAACTTTTCAGTATTTCTCAAGTTTTGGCCAGGGTCGAGTTAAATGCGGTTATGGGCCCAAAGGGACTCTGAACCAGGAATGACTGTGTAATTTGCCACACAAGATCAAAAGTTAGAAAGTTTCTCTTAGTAACAAATTCAGTATATATGATGAAGAGGTCTCTTTAAGTTTTCCTGTCACAGAAATTATTCGTTGCTAATCAAAACTCAGAAGAGTTCTATACTCAGTGTTATAATACCGAGTTGTCTGTTGAAAGTCAACCGACGTGTCGAAACGATATATTGCCTCCATTTTCAGGGTCGGAAAATAAATCAAGCAAGAAATGGGCATGTAGCAGACAACAGGTACAGCTGGACGTATATTCCAGAAAATAGAATAATTCTTAACCACAACTGTGCTAACCAAAAATGCTCGTAATATCAATTCTGATTACTGTTAACACACATATACAGGTTGGTTCTAAATTATTGTCGGGGTTTCCGTTTATAGATCACGGAAATCCTGTCAGTAATTTAGAATCATTTTATATATATCGACTGGACAGCAAGCGATGGCCTCTGCCCTAGTCCCGCTAGCAAAATGAACATGAGAAACTGACCGCCTTATCAAGATAATAGGCGGAGTTTCCATATTTGGATTAAATTGAGGTAAAAATTTAATTTGTAAAGAGAAGTCCTATCATCTGGATATAATTCCATGCACCCCACTGCAAGTCAGCCGACGTTTCGAGGGAACATGTCGCCATCCTCTTCAGTGTCGAAGAGTAAACCGAGAAAGAAACCAACATGAAATAGTTAGGAAGCTGTTAGAGCTAACTATGGGTATTTTGGTTTATAGGGGCCGGAAAGTAGGTGAAACCTGGACTTAAAAAAGAATTCAGTATTGAGAATAGAAATAAATGAAATATTAATACAAAAGTTTATAAATACATTTAAAAATATGCTTTAATCCCTAATACTGTAGAACAATCAGTGAAAAATAGTCTGAAACATATTTAACGTGAATTTATATGCAAATATTCTTATTTCTTCTACATTTAAACCCTGATGGTGTCCATATTTGGTTAGAAAAAAACATGAAGACCTTGGAATAACATTGTTAAGAGAAAGTTGTTTAAATGTAACACTCTGTTTCACTCATTGAACTCGTTTGAAGTTTCAGTTAACCAACAAATTTATTCAACATTGAACCGATGAACCAAAAGAATAAAAGTAAAGCTATCCCTGTACCAGGCTGTGAAGGCCCATAGGGTTGTGAGACGTTGAGGGTGCCACATTTTCTAGACAATCGGTAAATGATATAAAATCCGTCTCAAGTGCAAACAATATATTTTGTGTCTTTGATCTTGCTCCCTATACTACATGTTTCGGCCTCAGACGGCCATCATCAGGTGTATAACACTCACGTCGCTGTCACACTGCACCCAGTTCAAAATTTAACATCTAAAACACTCTCCCTGTCATTATCAACTTCTACTTCGTTGATAGCTGTCCACCCGTAGATTACTTCACACACGTTAATTTTGAGTTTATTGTAATAGCACCATAATAAAATCTTTAGTTCTAATTTTAAACCTTTAAATTCTTGTCCAAATTTTAAAATTTTAAAATTGTTAGGGTTATTCGCCCTGTGTTTGAAGTGCTGCAGCGGCTNTGAAGTAATCTACGGGTGGACAGCTATCAACGAAGTAGAAGTTGATAATGACAGGGAGAGTGTTTTAGATGTTAAATTTTGAACTGGGTGCAGTGTGACAGCGACGTGAGTGTTATACACCTGATGATGGCCGTCTGAGGCCGAAACATGTAGTATAGGGAGCAAGATCAAAGACACAAAATATATTGTTTGCACTTGAGACGGAGTTTATATCATTTATCGTATGGAGTGCAACAGGATGCTTAAATATAATATTCTAGACTATCGGCTCAAAGGTGGCGGTAAGGTTGTCAGCCTTACGCACCGGCCCCGCTTTACTCCCCAGGAAAATTATTTAATTAATTCCTGGCACTCATTTCTGTTAGAGGCTGAGTCAACCCCAGGGCCATTGTGCGGCTGGAAGGATTAGGTCAATTGGAAAAAAATCCAATGACCTCATCGGGACTTGTACCCGCGACCTTCCGGCTTGTAGCATAGCCCCTCAACCAACTACGCTACAGCGTGCCCCAAACCAAAAGGGTAATGACAGGAAATCAAATATTGAATGATGTTCACCCCTGAGTAATCCGTTGAGATCTCTCTTTTTAACACATACATCAGAGTGTTTTAAAACGTATTACGGAAAGTGAGTGTATAAACTTCACAGGTCTATTTGATAGCTCAATTTACTCGACGTTTTATTTGGGCACATTATGGCTTGTGTGAATGCTGGGTTGCTTTTCAATATAAAGGGCAAGAGGGGGTACTAATATATATGTGAGCTTTCAATTTAGAATCATAAACCAACAAGTGCAAATATGCATATATTTTGGTCCGCTCGTTTCAGTCAAGTTCTTAAATCAACAGCGGTCTAAGTGTCAAATATGAATACGCGTACATATGATAACCAAATCCATGAAACAGATTTCCTTTTCAGAATAAAATATTTGTTCAGGTTATCATGTAATTCTCATCCTTTCATTGGACCCGAAGGTTCATCCTCGTCTTAACAACAACCCTCTTATAGTAAAATTATTTTTTTTTAATTCGCTTAAATGGGGGGGTGGAGTCAAACTGGGTCCACTCCGCACGGCCACCACTGACTGGCCTATTGTAGCCTGCCCCGGGTGATTATGACGATGGAGAATTTGGTGGAATGAAGATTGGTAGGGGAAATCGAACTACTCGGAGAAAACCCACCCCAGCGCCAATTTGTCCACCACAAATCCCACTTGACCAGACACGGGATCGAACCCGGGCCGCCGCGGTGGTAAGCCAGCGACTAACCGCTTGAGCTATGGTTCGGCCTTCCCGCTTATAGTATCTATTCTGAAGCAAAGGAACCCAGGCTACAACCTCAACCCCCATTTTTAAGACTCATCTCAATGTTATCCTCTAATCTAAGCACGCCAACCAAGTAAACTCACCCCATTATCATTGGTTTGATCACTCTAGTAATACTTAGCAAAAGCTATACAAATTACGGCTGTCTGCGTGTGTATGCAGTATAAATTCGCTACCGACCCTTTAATGACTGGACCAGAGTAAGGGTTACTTTACGACTGGCGGGTTACCACCATTCAGTTCGCTTTGGTGACAAGCCCCTTGAGACTCACAACCAGTATTTTTTTTAACTGAACACTTGCTTGCATAGTCCTTATGTAACATCCTCTCTGAGGAGAGGATAAGTCTGTCTTTTGCAGTTGCTGCTGGTGCTCGCCAGCGCAGTCATTCTTGAGTCCGAGTCCCGCGGGACCCATGACCATATTTTACTACCTCAGATTAGAGACTCCCCCAGCCTGGAAGTCCACGTACCTCTATTTATATCCCCTAGGAACATGGTGGCCAAGTTATGCCCCAGAAGTTATACCCAAGAAAATAAATATAGAGCATTACCGTTATATTATCATTGTCTGTTAGAGAATTAATTGGTTACGTAATGAGATTTATAAAGCTGCTCTAATTTCCCAGGAGTCTGAACTTGACCGATGTTCATCGTCACCGTCCGAACAAAAGCGACGCCGTGATGCCGTCTGCAATAACAGCAGCAGAAGTGTTGATGATGTAAGGCAGTATTCCCATGACGTCATTCCAGCCCATGTGAGTATGTTTTATGTAGTGTATATATCATAGGTATAAATATTCTCATGATCTCTGAAAGTTAGAACCGTGAGGCAGAAAAATATGCTCATGGACCTCGTTGGGCCCAGAACCAAGAATGGCTCTCCTGGCGAAGACCGGCAGCAATATACCCGAAGCCCGAAAATGGAAAACATTACACGTCGATGAAAAATTGTACTACACAGTGGTACGCCATTTTCTGTGAACCTGGTTCGGGCCTTTCTTGCTTGTCTAGTACCACAGTCTACAGCGCTTTCTTTCCTTACCACTGAATATTACGGTCGAGTTTTAGCCTCTGTTGGCATTTAGGAACTGCCGGGCAAAATTCTTGGCGTTACTGGCTTTTATGAGGGGTTTCTTCAGTCTCACCAGGAAAATTAGGGGATACTAACCTAAAACAGTCTACCAACGTCGGTAACGGTAGCGTAGTTGGTTGAGGCACTATGTTACAAGCCGGAAGGTCGTGGGTTCCAGTCCCGATGAGGTTGATTCTTTTCAATTGACCTAATCCTTCCAGCCGCACTATGGCCCTGGGGTCGACTCAGCCTCTAACAGAAATGAGTACCAGGAGTTAATTAAATAATTTTCCTGTGGAGTAAAGCGCGGCCGGCGCGTAAGGCTGGCTACTTTACCACCATCTTTGAGCCGATTGTCTAGATAAGGCATGTCAAACTCAACTTGTACAGAGGGCCACCTCAGCCTTATAAATAATAGTCCAGGGCCGCACTTCAAAATAGAAATATACATTTGATTTTGATACAAGGAAATTTAATTCTATTTATTATTTAGGAATAATTTCAATATAATTACCTAAAGTGGAACACTTATATTTTGCCCACAAATCAAACATGTAATTTTACCTTCTATTTCACAACAGAAATAAGCGATTTCCCATTTTTCTCGAAAAACACGGCGCTCACTTTCAGTAGTTCTTTTTTTGCTACTTGAATTTTTTGAAAGCGACATTGCCCTTTAAAAGTTACTGTACATATACAAGAAAACTCGTAGTTGATAATTTAATGTTTAATTATAACCTTTATACGTTCATCACAATGTAACATCAGCACCTGTCGCTGTGTGAAAATGAACTGAATGACAATGTACAAGAGACTACCGGACTAGTAGGAAGGTGTATCTTGTCTCAATGGTCATAAAAGTGAAAGTTTGCTAGTGGCCCATTAGACAATGACTGGGAGTTGCAAGCTAGTTTTGAGGGTAGAAATCCCTTGCGCTTGTCTGTCAGTTGCCACCCTCCTTGCATTCTTACTACGCCTCCAAAAGGGATTCTTGGAAATACTTGGGGTGGTGAGGCTGTGCGGATTTTAGTGCATTAACCTTCTGAAATACAGCAGTTTGTCCTTCACGAACTTTTCAAAGCGTTAGTTGGACAAACCCTTCTGCAATTCTCAGAATCACTTTTCCTGCAGCCTGCTAATTTATGTCTGCGTGAGACTTCTTGTCTTCTGGTCTGTTGGAAAATTGTCTTTACAAAAAATATTTCTACTAAAATTTTAATATTGATTTTAATATCAATTAGCTCTAAAAGTTGAGGGGCCGCACTTTGTGGCTATGGGGGCCGCATGTTTGACACGGCTGGTCTAGACAACGTGGGAGCCTCGGCGTCTCACAACCCTATGGACCTGCCTGTTACATGGATAACTTTACCTTTTACTAACGTCGATTTCCAGAATCGTTTCTTTTTCCTTCTTTCTGTATGGCTGTACAGCCTTTTGTTAGACCTTGGTCGCTTTTTTAGTTTCTTAATCCTATACACAGTCGGTAAGACTCCTTGGACGGGGGATCAGCGCTTCGCAATGCCGCTACTTATTCCATTGTTACAGCTCTTAATTTAGAAGTATATATATGCTCCACCAGGAATATATTCAAAGAGAGTTCATCTAGAAGATTTACTTAGAAGTTTACGTTTCAGTCAGTTGAGAATACGTTTTATAGATCGTTTTGAAATATTCAGAATATAAGAATAATTCTTTTTAAATAATTTTAAATTTTTGATATAATATTCTGAGACAGGCAGAGGGCGACCTCTGCTTGCCACATGTTTTTTGCTGGTTACATGCTGGAGTTACTCCTCTTCTTTGAAGATGGAGCCAGTAGTTTCATCCACAACGTCGATAAATTTTATCAAGCTGTACGGCGCCATATCCAAAGGGATAATAGTCATCATACACCTGCGCCATGCTTTCAATTAGAAAACAATGTGTTCTGTCCTCTAAATCTTGTTTATATGGTACGGTATTTTCTTAATTTAAAGAATTTAGGTACGTATTTTTGTACGGCTGTTAGTACAGGATATACAGGGTCAATATATTATAATACAATATTATATTATTGTCACGTTGTTGGGGTTTTGCGCATGACTTCTGAGACTCGTTTTGGATTGGATGATTGGATTTATTGACACCTGCACACAACTCGGGACTACAGGCAGTATAGCGCTACCGCTGATCTATACACTTTACAGTTCACCGTTACGCACGCACTAAGTTTCTCACTCTTCACTAGTCATATCCTGGCAACGGATTTATCACAGTCTCACTGTAACTTCAAATCACAAATGAAGTCTTCTTATCACAGTCTAATTTCTATCTTGCCATTTCTTCTCAGTAACCTTTGACTGCCATCTCCAGAACTCGACCAAAATTTTGAGAGCAACTCACTCAAATGACTTTCTTTGTTCGTTTATAACCCCTCGGCAGGGACCACACAGGAAACGCAGCCTCTGTAAAGTTGGAGTCATATTCACTCTCCGTTATCTTGTAGTTGACGTCATATTGTTGCGCTCGTTGGCTACGGAGCGAATGTGTTTGAGTCTTTGCCTAGTAATGGATCTATAAATCACAGTTTGATATGTCATAATATATCCATATTAGCTCAATTTCTTATTTTGAAAAAATAGAGGGCGCCTCTGAGATCATCTTACTGTCTGCGTAAGTCTGCGTCTATCCGTCTCTCTATGTATCCTTACTTACTTACTTACTTACTTACTTACTTACTTATGGAGCTGAACCCTTCACGAGGAGAAGCCAAATGTGCAGCTACTCAAGAATTTCCCAGCATTTTATAGAACCAGAAGGTTCAGTTCCGTGTTCACAAGAGCCCTTCACTGGTCTCTTGAGCCAGATCAATCCAATCCATACCATCCCATCCCATCCTATTTCTCTAAGATCCATGTTAAAATTGTTCACCCACCTACGCCTTCTGGCTTTCCCACCAATATCCTATATGCATTCCTTTTCTCTCCCAATCATGCTACATACCCTGCCCACCTCATTCTCTATGTATCCTCCCATAATTTTTTAGATTTTAGATCACCTTGTTATATGTCTGTGTAGCCACCTTATATTTGTTAGGACGGACACACATCACTTTTCTGTGTATTTGCATCCCCTTATTTTTTTTTATTTTTCTATATGGTCCTAGTTGTAACAAAGAAAGGGAGGTGATTAGTTCTTCTCAGAACTTCTTGCTATACATACCTTTTTAGCTTTAACTATCAGCTGAAACAAGAAAACGTGTCAAAATAATATACGAATATATAATATTTAAGCTGTGCTGGACCAACACGGTTTTCAGCGGAGACATTCAGAATGAATTAACATTGTAGGTTGGGACATAGTACGTGTATCTTAAAAATGTAGATTTATCTAATCTGTGAAATTATAATTCTCGTTCCAGAGATATACACGTATTAATACAATTAGATATTTCACCTATTTGGAGGCAAAGAAATGGGACTTGGTAACCATTATCAAACTCGTAAATTTGAGAGCTCAGGGGCTATGTGAGGGCACCTAATCACCACACACAACACAGCTGGTTATTGCTTTAATACGTCACGAATAGCTTGATGTCTTCATTACTAATATCTCTGGTTATCCTCTTACCGCAATGTGGGGGTGGTTCTACAGGGGTGAAACAAAATATCCGTAAGACGCGTGCCTCAGATTTCACGTTGAGTTATATCAACTGCAGATTCTTGACCAGAAATTAAGATAGAAAAGGAAGTGAAAAATAAATGCAACCAACAAACAAATACATAGTTAATTTCAGGTCTGTAAGCGCAGTTCCACAATTTTTAATACAATATTTCTCTCATATCTCCCGTTGCCAAACCATGATTTTGGAAGTATACAAATATTTAGTTGTAAATATTCATATAATATTGTCTAGTGGTTCTGTTGTGTCCAACAGAATATGTATATCCCATCCTTCCACTTGAGAATGTAAACAGATCCAGTTTCCAGAACTTCGTGTTCTATAGAATACCGGCCTGTGGACAAAGTCCAGAAGAACACTGACCTCTTGTGTTACACACCGTCGCCAGAGCCTTTTAGAATTAACAATGGGCTTCAAGTTTCCGTCATTTAAACTCATCGGAAAAGTTTCACCATTAGCATTCGATGAAAGGCTAAAATATTTTCAGAGTGACAGAATAGAATTGTTAGTGTTATTTCCGAAAACATAGGAAGATTCATTTTAATCTCCGTATCAGCTTTGTGTACTAATCTCAGTTATACATCCGATCTTACGATATGATCATTATAGATCATGTTATAAATGTGTGATTTGGACACACCTGCTGACCAGAGTTCAATACACGGGGTCAACATGCCCTTCAGCAACATCGTGACGTGACCACATGATGCTGATTTGACCTTTGTAACTCCAAAGTTCCGAAACCGACTATCGAATTTCAGTATGCCCCCAGGATATATTTAAGTTTTTTGAAGTGTACGCTATTCTTATATATAAAGACTATATTAATTGTAGCCCCATTAATGGGAGTTACGAGAAAGAGAAGTAGAAATGAAGGAGGGGAGAGAACAAACAAAACAAACTCCGTGGTTTTAGTCCGCAAACGAACTATACCGCCTCTGTGGTCTAGTGGTCAGAATTTCTGGGTACAGATCCAGAGGTCCAGGGTTCGATTCCAGGCGCTACCAGATTTTCTGGGAAGT